GGTAGAGAAGACGAAGATAATGAGATGCAGGAAAGGAGGTGGAAGATGGAAAAAGGTGAGCTGGAGATGGAAAGGGAGGGAATTAGAGGAGGTGAGGAAGTATAAATATTTGGGGTACATGATTATGGCAAATGGGAAGTGCACGGAACATATAAAAGAAAGGGTGAGAAGGGGGGCGGTAGTAATGAGGAAAGTATGGGGGATAGGGAAAAGGAAATTTGGGAACGATTGGGCAAGGAGAATATGGTTGTTTGATAAGCTGGTATGGACGGTGGTGAGTTACGCGGTGGAGATATGGGGGTGGAGAGAAAGGGAAGAGGTGGAGAGATTACAGGACAGATATTTGAGATGGATAATAGGAGTAGGTTGGAATACGCCGGGATATATGGTAAGAGAAGAACTGATGAGAGAGAAGATAAGAGGGAAGGCAGGGTTGAGAGCAAAAAAGGGATGGAAGGAGGAAAGATGGCAGAGGGTGGCTAGATATAGATTAGGAGAGGAAATGAGAGAGGGGAGATATTGGGAGGATGCAGAAAAAAGGAAATGCAGGGTATGTGAGAGAGAGGAGGAGACGTGGGAACATGTGTGGGATGAGTGTACAGGGTGGGGGAGGGAAAGAGGATGGCAGGAAATGATAGAAGTAGTACTAGGGGATAAAGGGGAGGGAGAGATATGGATGAAAAAGATAGAGGAGTGGAGAATGGGAAGGATAGAGGAGGAAGAGAAAGAGAAGGAGATGGAATGGAAGGAAAGAGCAGCGGAAACGGGAGCCAGGATGAATGGAGGAATGAATGAAAGAGTGTTTGAGGACGCGGAGAATGGGTGATCTCTCTCTCTCGGTGGAGAAATTAGAGAATAAGAAATGGCGTAGGAGTAAGAAAAAGCGAGCGGAGAAAGTAGAGGAGGAAGACTGTAAACGGAGCGGTAGCCCGTATTCTGTGCACCGCAGAATAAAGACACACACATATATACTAAACATTCGATTTGGTATACCATTCGATTGCTATGTCAGCTTCAAGTGAACGTGTTATTATAATTTTCATAATTTATCGTATTTTGGTTGCAGGAAATACGAATTTGGAAAAATTAGCTGCCCATACCGTAAGAAAATTAGGATTGTGTGAAGATCATTTCCTTGCTACGTCATTTACAAACACAACGAAAGAACGATTAAACAGAAATGCTGTACCAATTGCATATGAAAACACTGCTGACTCATCTATACACATAGAAAATGTTGAAAGTGAAATACAAAACAATATTACAGCACTTCCACCTAACGATGAAAATGTAATAATGGAGGAACAAATGGTTGAAGAGTGTGCTCAGCGAACGTACAGGCCTGCAACTTTAAATTTCGAAATGTCTGCGGAAGAGGAAGACATAATGGAATGGGTGCATTTGGAGCCACCTAAACATCAAGATATTAAATGTAATAGGCCTGAAAAAAGTATTAAATACAAAGATGATAGCATTCAAAGAAATAATAAAAAGAAAAGTGATCCAAAAGCAGAGATAAAAGCCTTGAAAATTGTGCACGAATATGCGGAGACCGGCAATCGCGGATCGCGCGGTTCGGCTCAACTCGCGCACCAACGAATTTTATTTGGCGCCGACACAAGTTCCGACTGGAACTCCGGGAGATGTGAGGTGCGGACAGCAGGCATTAAATGGCAAATAATCTGTTATTTAATTGCACTTACGAACGTTTATTTAATTAACAAAAGAAGAAAGCACGCCAACGGCTGTTCTGAGCGAACAAAGGAAGGTTCACTGGCGAGAGATCACCTTGTGACAAGGTGATCGAACTTATTTATTTTAGTCGCGAACAAGGCGATGAGACGTAACGGTTGGCTCTTTCGCTGACGAATTTAACGACGTTGAAGACGTCGAGATCGCGATAGGCTAACTTCGGCGCACTTGAACTGTGCACGGATTTCAATCACTCGAGTCGATGCACGCATCCGCTCCGAGAAAGTAGCCCCGAAGCTGGTCTGGATGTCCGAATCTCGAACCGTCGTTCGCGGCATACCCGTTCAGTGCGGGCGAGATTGCGTAACTCCGTTTCGCTGATACTGGGCTTCGGTGCGGTTCACGTTCCGAAGAGGTGAATTGGAGAGTCCAAGGATAGGCGATCGGTCCGACTGAATTCTCTCTCGCAGAGACTGAGAAAACTGCCGCGTGTTTTATCGTGAGACGAAACCACAGCTGTCGTATTCAGAGCGATCGACTAACGACTGACTCCTCGCTTCTAACGTCTCCGGCGTGACCCGGTATCGGAGGTGGTTTTGGAGTCGACCGATGACGAAAATATTATTGAGTTTCGCTAGCGCGACGCAAGTCATCGGTCGAATCCGACTCGGTGCCGGCGATGATTTTCGCGCGCGGCTCGATCAGCTGGCTCGAACGGGATCATCGACCCGCGTTGCTCGCGACGCTTCTGCCCGAACGCACCGCGATTTCGAACGCTACATCGAATCCGAAACAAAAATTAAGAATTTTAATTTGCAACAAAAAATAAAGAACTTAAAATCTCGAATACAAAGGATGACACAAACATGTAAATGTAAAAATTCAAATACAAAAAAGCAGAAAAGCAAAAAAGAAGAGTTGCTAAAAAAATTAATAAATGAACGAGAACTGCATCCTGTAGCAAAAACCATGATACATTTGCAATTGCATAAACCACGTTCTCGATATACTGAGGAAGAAAAAATGCTTTCCAAACAATTATATTATTATTCAGCATCAGCATTTTGCCGTTTAAGGAAAGCAGGTTGCAATTTTCCTGGACAGAGAACAATTAGAAGATGGGTAGAAGAATATAACATAAAACCAGGATTTTGTGATATTATATTTCAAAAATTAAAAGAAAAAATTATACAAATTCCTGAGGAAGAAAGATTGTGTGCTTTAAAATGGGATGAGATGTCCATTAAAAACTATGAAGAATATTCGTCGAAATTAGACCAAATAGAAGGACTCGTTGATCTAGGACCCTTGGGCAAGCAATCAGAAAGAAGTAAGTGTGTTTTTGTTTTTTGCCTTGATAGTTTAAATGCACGTCATCCATGGCGACAACCATTGGCGTATTTTCTCCCAGGCAAATGTATGAGATCACATGAAATAGTTAACTTAGTCCACATGTGTTTAGATAAATTGAATGAAACGGGTGCTAATGTAAAATTTGTAACATGTGATCAAGGTACAAATAATCAAGCCGCTTACAGTCAACTAGGCGTTGAAGTGCAAAAACCATATTTTATATATAATAATAAAAAATATTATGCTTCACATGATTTTCCGCATCTAGTTAAAAGATTAGCGAGTTTTCTCAGAACGCATGACAATATATATTGCAAAGGAGAAATAATTGCATCATATTCTGATTTTGTAAAAACCTGGGACATTGATAATGCGACAGAAGGAGGCTCGAATTTATTATCCCATATTTCACAGGCACACATTCATCCGAATTGTTTTGAAGCGATGAATGTAAAAAGAGCTTTTCAATTATTTAGCCATACATTCGCAGCTGCTATTAAAGTAGCCGGTAGCGAAAAAGCATTAAATTCAAATACATGGGAAGCGACAGCTGATTTTGCAAAGAATATGAACAACGTAATTGATGCTTGTAACTCTTACAGTCTTAAAGTCACATTCGGCGGAAAACGGCCATTATCAAGGAAAAATCCTGATATTGAGGATCTGTTATCAAAGTTCGTGCAGTGGTGTCCAGGATGGTCCAAATATCCGAACAAAATATATCAAGTTCCTTGTTTCAAAGGTTTTGCCATTACAACACAAGCTATTCTTGCTTTATATAAAGAACTTGCAAGTAAAAATGAAGAATTTGAACTTGCAACAGGATTATGCAACCAGGATTCAGTGGAACATTTATTTTCAAAACTTCGGCAACGTGGAGGATTTAATCCTAATCCAACTGCAAGAATGGTTCGACTATCAATTAGACATATATTATCCACTGGTTATATTCAGACAAGCGATCAAGGGAATGTGCAATGTCCTGAAAGTGAAGCTCTCATTAATAAACCAAATCAAATTACTAAGACGGTTGAAAATTGTATGAGTACAAATAATGTTAGTGCTGTTGATGATGTCGAGGAAGACGTAGATGATGCCGATCTAGTTACAGAATTACTTGACAAACATGCGGATATCCTCGAGGAATATGATGTGGACATGAACAATGTAAGTATACTCAGTAATTATGATGAAAATGCAATAACGTATTTTGCAGGATATATCGCACGACCTTGTATTGAAAAAAATAATTGTGAAGACTGTCGTGCAACTATGTTGAAAACGCCAATGGAGGACGCAACACCAAGTGAAAGATACATCGAATATCGTGAATATCCCAACACAGATGAAGATGCTCCAACCGTAACGAAATTAGTTCGACCAACGAACCTCTTTACAAATGTTATCAAAACGCAGTTGATAAGTTTCAATAGAACGTGGCAACATCATTGGGCATCCACACAGGTTCTTGAGAAGATTATGGCAATATCGATCGCCGTGCGGTCACATCTCGCCACGCGCTCGAATTGGACAGTGGGCAGGGCAAAGACGACGATTTTCGATAATTTATTACTCGTTAACTATTGCGAAAATTGCAAATGGTTCAGGACTTTTCTGTTCATCTCGATCCGTTCTACCTTCTCACGAGCTCTGGCACAAATGTTATAACTCACCCTGTATATATGTGTGTGTGTAACAGTGATTTTTAACAAATCACAACCGAAAACGTTACGTCAATAAATTACGTCAATAAAAATTTAAAGTTACAGAGAAAGAGACGTAATATACACTTATACATTTCAAGGAAATCTACATGTAGATTTCCCCGTGTTAAGATTTGCTAGTCTATCATTTAAGCCCACACAGCACATGTAGGGGAAGCCCGAGCAAAGTGAACGCCCTGGGCAAAGCGGATAGGCTTTATTTTCGCTCGTACATACTAGAGGGCGCTATTAGTCTCTAGCAGATAGTATGAGCGATCGGACTTGACGCCATGACAGTGTGAAAAATCATACAGTTGCTCTCGTTAGTTTTTTAAAGAGAAATAATAAATTTTGTATGATTTCTTGCAATTTTCGCTAAGGTATGTACCTTGATTATTAATAGTAATTGTTCCTTAATCACTATGAATGCTTTTTTACAAGAATTCTCTCTTTTTAACACTCTATTGAAGTATAAAATATTTCATTTATTACACATACCAACTTAACCTTTCCAAGTTTGCGCCAAGTAGGCCCTTTGGGCTAAGCGGATGGGGGCAAAGCGGATGACCCATCCTTTTTGCCAGGCCATATTGTGATTGCTGTTTTTTCTGTTTTAAGATGGTTTTCCAATACAAACGAAAAACAGACCAAGCAACATGGACGGAGACCAATCTAAAACGTGCTATGGATGCAGTTAATGAGAAAAAAGAGTCTATTACATCAGCAGCTAAAAAGTACCAGATTCCGTATACAACTTTACAACGGCATATGAAGTCAGGGAACTGTACAAAAAAGTTGGGAAGGTTTACTACCGTTTTTACCAGAAATCAAGAAAATGAGTTATGTAATTATCTGAAAGAACTGGATAATTTATTTTTTGGCTTAACTCGCGCTGATTTCCTACATCTTTTTTTTTTTGACCCGGTGGAAATCCTCATGGACCGTCACCCGCCCCCTCTGGAGAAGGGGACGGGTGGTGTGTGGGACTCGTCTCCCTGGCACTTGGGCTATTGACAACCCAAGGCCAGTGTGCAATGGAAACGCCTACCGCACTAAAACCACCGGGGGTGGACTTCTTCGCGCATGGTTGGACCACCCAGGCACGCTGAGCATTGGCTTCTGGAGTGGTCCTGCGCCGCGCACGCTTATTTAACTCGCGCGCTCTTCTATGGCCTTTGTGTTTGGGCCGGCCCTTAAAAGGGCCTTCTCCTACCACTGCGACGAGGGTGCCACCGG